GACCTAACCATTACGCCAACCTTCCCTTAACATTTTAAAACTAAAGAACAGTAGCTTCTGTTTTCTTCCAGCCTCTGGACTTCCTACTTGATTTAATCGCATGAATGGTTCACCATTTCCTAAAGACTACAGCCATCTTAAAGCTGATATTCATGTTCCTGGCCTTGGGCAATGAATAATTAATTCTACTGCAAATGACTAAATGAGGAAAGGAATCTAAAGGGAAAGCCCTAAAAGAATGATTTATATAGCAGGATTTGGGAGGGGCTGGAGGTGCCCAGGCTGTTCTGACCAGGAAATGATAGCAGACCGGGATTGTGGATGGCCTTCGATCAGAGAAACTGACGCATTCCCCTCTCCTCCCAGCTGACGGGTCAGTAGCTGATGTCAGCTGACATCCCTGGCAGAAAAGATCTCCAGGCTCCTTGGGTTCTTGGGTCTAGTCTGGAGAATCAGGGGCCTGACACAGAATGACAGAAGCACCCTGCTCTCTTCCGTACTTAGTTTTGGCTTTGATGACTTCAGGGCCGATGAACACTAGGCCTCCTTGGGTTTTGAGGGAAGTCTGTTGGCCTTTCCAAGGTCCTGTTCCCCTGGGCCTTCCCCTCGCCTGGTGTCAGCCTGACTGGGAGTTGCATGGCTATACATGGGAATGGGGGAAGCCACTTCCCTCCTAAGACAACCTACCAGCAGGTTCAGAACTGAGGGGCGGTCCTCACCTCCCCACTGTGCACTGGAACAGAGGGGCTTTCTCTTTCCCGCCCGGGAATCTTCATCTTGCTCTCTCACGAGCCACCAACAGCTCCAAAGTCCCCTTGATTATTTCTTCCAGGGCTTCTAGAAATCTAAGGACATATAGGTTGATAACAGGCAGGTCCCTACTTTCTTTTTTTAAATTATTTTATTTAACTTTATTTATTTTAATTTGACCAGACAGGAGAGAGAGAGAGAGAATGTGAGAAAGCAAGCCATCAGGTCCGGGACTCGAACCAAAGATGGAGTCCAGCGCTCTAAACCAGGGGCAAGGTCTGGCAGGCAGAGGTGTTAGGCTTCTATACAGAAGGCAGTGGGTGGGGCCAGTGAAATGAATGACGACATGCCTTTCCTTTTTTTTTTTTTTCTGCTATAGGGTGCGTGCTCACCAGAAAGAGACACGACAGAAAGCGAGAAATCACCCCCCAGGGGGGATGGCCATGCTGCAATCCCTTCTCCATTCTCCTCTCAGGATCTTGGGCATGCACGCACACGCGCCCGACGTGAGTTTAAGCCATTGGGTCTGGGTCTCGAACCACGGTCGACTACATGGGAGTCCAGCGACATAGCCATTACACTAACCGCTGACCCCAACATGCCTTTCTTGACATCCTTGGACTCTTGAGGTCTTGAGCGGGCTACTGCAGAAAAGGAGCGAGCGGTGTAGGACAGGGCGGGAGCAAACGAGAAACATGAGATCATTCTGGTATGCTCCAAGAGACAGCAGAATGGTTTAACTGGTCTACCTGGTCTTGTAACCTAAAGGACTATTTCCATAACCCTATAAACGTGCCACTCAGAGTATTTATGACTATCTGTAGTCCTTAACAACGGGTCTGGGGCTAAATACACGCCAACTGTGTTATAGCAAAGTCCTAGCTGGAGCTGGGAACACTGAGAGCCACACAGTGGCCAGGAGGAAGGTGTGACGCAGAGGGCTTTGGCTCTTGGGGATTTTGGCATCTACTTGCCCTGGAGCCACTTGCAGGTGCTAACCTCTTAGTCTCCTCATCAGTCAGGATGAATTTAATGATCTTCGCCCTGCAGTTTTGGGGAGGATTAGATGCTCTGCCCAGAGTACCTACACAATACTCCAGATGAACTGATTTCTCAATGAGTAATCGCTACCACCACTACAAGGGTTTTTTTTCTTTTCCTAGTCATTAGGCTTTTCAGTTTTATTTATTTACACATGCCCAGCATGTACCTCAAGGCGTTGGACCCAGGACTCAGACCACGCAGTCGGCCATGTGGGATCCAGCACCTTAACCTCTATGCCACCTGCTGGCCCCTCCTACAAGGATTTGAACCCAGGCTGTGGGTAAAACGCTTGTACCCACTTAAATATGCTCCCTCTGGGGTCAGCTCGGTGGCCAAGTGATTAAGGAAACCACATCTTTTGTGGCCAGCCTCTGTTCAAATTCCAGCCAGGTAGCTCGAAGAACACGCCAGGCTGTGGAGTGACCCAAATCTAGACAGGATGGACAAATGAGGGAGGATGGATTGGGGCATGACCACATCCCATTATGGGGTGTCCCTCCCCTTCTCCTTCTTTCTCTCTTTGGTGAGCACATGCACCTCCTAGGATATAAAAAAAACAACCAGCTACCCCCTGGATGGAAGGATCAGGGAATCCCATAAGGGAGTCCTAACTACAATGGCTCCAAGAGTTTGAGAGAGCTTCTAGGAACCGACCCTGGGTATGAGGGGGCACCTTGGTTGCTATTTGTCACCTGAATGCCTCCTGGGGCTCACTACTTTACATACACTTTTAAAAAATTCTTTTAAACTTTATTTATTTATTTTAATTTGACCAGAGAGGAACAGAGTGAGAGAGAGCGGGAAAGAGAAAGTGAGCCACCAGGTCTGGGACTCGAACTGCAGTCAGCCATGTGGGAGACCAGTGTCTTTAACCATCATGCCACCTGCGGACCCCTTTCCATATACTATTCCACTTTCATGGTGGTCCTGTAAGGTGAGGCGGCTTCCATTCTACTGGTAGGGGAGTGGAGCCCTTGGGGGGGGGCAGCTTGAATAAACCATCCCAGGGGTGGAGTTGGGGTTTGACTTCAAGTCCAATCCTACAGCTCAAATTCTCGGCTGGTCCCTAAAGTCCACCTCCAGCTCCCCCAAGCAGAAATACAAATACCCCTCCGATGCCAGCTGGGGTGCTCAGAGCTGCCTCCCACCCGGACCTGTTCTGCCTTCTCCTGCTCCTCTCTCTCTGGAAATGGCTACTTTTCTCAGCCCCTTGCTCCTCTCTGGGAACGGAACTGCCCTTATTTGTCTGGTGGGACAGGGTTGGGGAGCTTTTGCCTGTTTCTGGCACCCACTGCCCCCTAGTCTAGGGCATGGCTTTCTCAGCCCGTTAACATCCACCCGCTCACCCTCGACCACACCGCTGGGAACTTCCCCAAGCCAGATCAAGGCCGGCGTGCGGGTGTGTGCGTGAGTGTGCGTGAGTGTGTGTGTCCGCGCGCAAATGCACAGTCGCTGGGCGCGCAAGGAGGGGGAAGCGCCCCACGAATCCAGGCCCTGCGTCACTCCCGCCATGGTCAGAAATGGGGCTTTCTCGAGTCCCTGATCGCCCTGCTCCGCGCGCCAGCGCCCCGAGGACGTCGGTGCCTCCGTCCCTTCCCTGCGGTCCCTGAGTTCTAGGCCGGGAAGACGGGGTGATGCGGGGGAGGGCCTGCTGCTGGCCGCCTCCCCGCGTTGTGCGCAGTAGTCACCATGTCCGTTTTGGAGGGAGGAGAGGGTGCTGAAGAGCCGAGGCTCCCGCGGGCTGGCAGTGCCACCTGCCTAG